CTTCTCTAGCATGGCCACCTGCTAGGAGGGGGATGGGACAGAGTGCTCAGAGAAGTGGGCAGAGGAGGCTGCCAGGGGTTGGCCTCTACCCTGGATACCACGCAGAGCCACGAGCATTTGGATGTCAGACCTGCCCAGAAGAATACTCAGAGAAAACAGGTGAGACTGTATAAGGGTCAAGACTTAACAGGGCTACCAGGAAGCAGCCACAACTCACCTGATTAACCAGAATCCGCTCCAAGGCTGCCGAGGGTATGACTCTTACAGCCAGAATAAGGCCAGCTCTGAATGACTTGGTTTCAGCATAGTCCTGATTCCAGGTCCCATTGGTCCCATTTCTGAATCAATTAAGGAGTCACTGACCACAGGACAGTACTGGGTGACCACTGGTCAGCAGCCACTCTCCAGGCCCGAGTTTCCCTTTCTGTAATATGTGAGGTTTGATTTTGTACGTGTGTATAGGTGCACATGCACCTGTGTGTACAGAGGCTGGAGGCCCACTTCAGGTGTCATTCATTTCTTGTGGTGCTGTCCACCTTTTTCAACTCACAAGAGACCCACCTGCTTCTGTCTCCCCAGTGCACACTTTGGTTTTTAATATGGGCTCTGGGGATGGAACTCAGGTCTTCATACACGCTAGGCAAACAGTCTACCACTAAGCAGTGTTCTTAGGCCATGTGTTTCCATGTTGATTTTTGGAATTAGGCTGTCACGTAATCCAGGTTGGCTTAGAACTTGCTCTGTAGCCGAGGATGAAGCTGACCTTCTGAAACCCCTGCCTTTACTTATGGAGTGCACCATCAAGCTGAGTTTACTTGGTGCAGGGGTCACACTTGGCTTCCGAATGCTAAGTGATCACTGTCCTAGTTGAGCCATATCCCCAGCCTCAGTCCCAAGCTATCGGTATGCTTCACTGTGCATTCCAGGATGGCTCTGAACTTGCAGCAATCTTCCTGTGTTAGCCTCCCAGGTGCTAGGAGTGCAGGTGTGTGCCACTACAGCTGCCCTAACAAGAATGGCTCTGGCTTTAACATCCTATAAACTGGCCTGGAGCTCACTGTATAGACCAGGCTGTACTTCGGCCTTTGCCTCCTGGGTGCTGAGATTAAAGGTCCCACCATGCCCTCTGTGAGTTTTTACATTACATTCTCAGGGTTCACTGAGAATCTCCTGAGGACTCAGGAGCACACCTGGACCCTGCCTAAAGGCACTGACCTGTCCCTGGAACTTCTGATGGAGACCTTGGTGGTGGTGGGAACAAAGATTCAAACATCAAAAGTTTCAGAGCATCCAGGGTGACACAGAAAGGCCTGTGTCAATCAACAAAGGAGATGAACAAGTCGCAACACTGAACCAGCAGGGCAGTTTGGCACTATGATGGCTAGACCACGTCGCCCAGTTGGTTAAAAATGCCATTCTGGATGTTTCTGGTGAAGGTGTTCTTGGGATGGAATTAAATTTAAATTAGGGGAGTTGGAGTCCTTCAGACTCCCTCCACTGTGAGTAGCCTCATCTTAATAGTGTAGGATATGACTATAAAAATCCTGACCTCCCCCAAGCAAGAAGGAATTTGCCAATAGTCAACCCTAGGAATGGGACTATAGCTCTTTTTTGGGTCTTGGCTGTCATCTACCCTAAGACTTCTCAAACCCCAGTAATCCTGACAGCCAATCCTTTAAGATGAAACAGCTCTGCTTGGCCTGATGGCACAAACCTGTAATCTCAGCATTTGAGAGTTGGAGGCAGGAGGGTGAGGTGTTCAAAGCCATCCTCAGACATACAGTGAGTTCCAGGATCAGCCTAGGTTACACAAGACTGTCTCAAAATGCCACAAATATGGAAAGAAAACAAAACCAAGCACACATACAGACACACTGATAGACATATGTACATCTTGATGGCTCTGGCCCCTGGAGAACCCTGATGAATACTGGCATTAACCCAAGTAGCAAATACTATAACACATGCTTTACAGCCACAGTAAGGATAGAGGGTTTTGTTTTTTGTTGTTGTTTTTCGAGACAGGGTTTCTCTGAGTAATAGTCCTGGCTGTCACGGACACGTTTTGTAGACCAGGCTGGCCTTGAACTCACAAAGATCTGCCTGCTTCTGACTCCCAAGATGGGAGATATTTTATGCGCTGCCATGAAAAAGATCTCTAACATAAATCAATATACTGGTTTATATGTTTGAGACAGGGTCTCTCTATGTAGCCCTCATTGTTTTGGGACTCACTACATAGATCAGGCCTGCCTCTGCCACCTGAGTGCTGGGATTAAAGGCAGGTGCCACCTCGATTCAATAAATAACTTGCTCAATAAAATACTTGTAACATGCAATAATTTAAAAAACGATGGTGCACACCTGCAGTCTGAATCTGTAATCCCTGAGTGCACTATGTGTAAACTGGAGAGTTTCAAGTGTCAGGGCATCCAGGGCTAGACAGAAAGACCTTGTGTCAAACAAGGAAGAGGAGACAGGCAAGTTGTAGCATTGAACGTATCCACCAGCAGGAAGCTGGCTGAAGAGAGGCAGCTCTTGCTGCTGCTAAGGAGGAAGCTCTGTGTTCACTGGAAGAAGCAAGGCACAAGTTGTGTGAGGATAATCCACACAACAGATACGTACAGATGCAAATGCAAGAAAGAGCTCCACAGCCCAGAGCAAGCAACAGATCCCCTCTGGGAAGTAACTGGGAAGAGAAGTGGGAGGGAGTCCCCATGTCTACTCCTGCTGCCGAGATGGCTCAGCAGTTAAAGGGTCTGGTTACCTAGCCTGAAGTTCTGAGTTCCATCCCTGGAGGGGCCCACTCCTGAGGTTGCCTTCTGGTTCCACTAGTGCCCAGACATGACCCTGCCCGTTCCACATAAATAAGTAAACGTGGGCTGGGAATGTGGTTATGTAAAGTGCTTGCCTAACAGGAAGACCTAGGTTTGATCCCTCGTAAGATTTGGAGTGGAGTACATTCTTGTAATCCCAGCACTCATTTGGGAGGGTAAGGTAGGAGGCCAGCCTGGGCTATCCAGTGAGCACAAAGCCATCAAAAAATGCATTAACTACATCCTATCTCAAATAAGTTTCCTTTCTGGTGAAAGCCAAAGTTGGATTTTTTTTTTTTTTTTTTTTTCAAAGACAGGGTTTCTCCATGTAGCCTTGGCTGTCCTGGACTCACTTTTTAGACCAGCCTGGCCTCAAGCTCACAGATATCCACCTGCCTCTTCTTCCCTGAGTGCCGGGGTTACAGGTATGCACCTAACTGCCTGATCAAAGTTGGAATTTTTAAGCACTATTCAAGAAATCAAGTTAAAGATATTTTGAAAGACTTATGTATTTATTTATTTAATGTATATGAGAGCTTTATCTGTATGTACACCTGCAGGCCAGAAGAGGGCACCAGATCCCTGTATACATGGTTGTGAGCCACCATGGTGTTTGCTGGGAATTGAACTCAGGACTGGAAGAACAGCCAGTGCTCTTAACATCTGAGCCATCTCTCCAGGCTGAAAGATTCTTTTATTATTATTATTATCTTTAATTATGTGTGTGTGCAAGTTAGTGTAGGTTCCCATGGAGGCCAACGGCATTAAATTCCCTGGAGCTGGAGTTACAGAGGGTTGTGCGCCACCATATTGGCGCTGGAAACCAAATACAGGCCCTTTATTTAAGCAGCCAGTGCTCTTAACTGCTCAGGCATTTCTCTAGATGTTTTTTGTTGTTGTTGTTTTGTTTTCAAGACAGGGTTTCTCTGTGTAGCCCTGGCTGGTTCTGGAACTCACTCTGTAGACAGGCTGTCCTCTAGATCCAACAGCCTCTGCCTCCCACATGCTGACATGCTGGGATTAAATCTGTGCACCACCACCACCCAGCTGCTCGTTTTGTTTATTTATTTTTTGTTTTTTTTTAGGCCAGCCTGGTCTACAGAAAGAGTACCAGGACATCAAGGGCTATACAGAGAAACTCTGTCAAGAAAAAACATCGTTAATTTTATTCATTTACTTACTGTGTGTGCATGAGTGTGTAACGGTGTGTATAAGTCAGACTACAACTGTGGGAGTCAGTTTTCTCCTTCTACCATGTGGGACCTGGTGGGACTGAACTCAAGGTTGTCAGGCATTAGGGTAGGGGTATTTACCTGCTAAGCCATCTCACCCCCCTGGTTCTTTTTTGTTGAGACAGGGCTCATGTAGCCAGGCTGACCACCATGGCAGGTTTTATGAACTATTGGAGAGTAAATCCAGGTTTTATTTAGGTTAGGCAAACACTTTACCAACTGAGCTATACCAGCCTCCAGTGGTTTGTTTTTTTTAAGATTTATTTCATTTGTATTTCGAGTGTGTGTATGTGTATGTGTATGTGTATGCATGAAAGCATATGTGTGTCTGCCCTTGGAGTCAGAAGAAGGTGTGAGGTGCTGGAGTTACAGGCCGTTGTAAGCCTCCAGATGCGGGTACTGGGAACAGAGCAACTCGGGTCTTCTCAAAGAGCAGGAAGCACTCTTAACCACAGGGCCATCAATCTAGACCCCATGGCTGGCTTGGTTTGAGACAGAATCTCACTTTGTTGCCCTGGCTGACCTCTAACTTTAGTGATCTTCCTGTCTCTGCCTCCTCAGTGCCAGGGCTACAGGCGTATGCCACTATACTTAGCTCAGATGACTCTAAAACCTGTGGAGAAAAAGATAGTAGATTCAGAGCTTTCTTTAGAAACGGTTTTTCTTTTAAGTTATCATTCGACCAAAAGGTGGTTGGCCTTCTGGACCAAAACAATCTAAGATGGCCTCAGAAGGCTACTTCTTTAAAACACAAAGGGACAAACCAGAAACAGTGACAGGGCCTGGCCCCAGTTCTTCCCAGAGAAGACTAGGCACAGACTTTACACAGATGACTCAGTAGATACTGGCTGGCAATGCCATCCCCCTGCCATGTGAAATAGAGGGGACCGCTCCAGATAAGCCATCCACATGACCTGCCTCTTCCTCAGCCACAAGCAAGCACTGAACAGTCTGACTGAAGGAACCATTTGTTTACTGTTTAATGGGAGGTAACAATAACCCCCTCCCAAAAGAAAGAAAACAGTCCCAGACGCAAGGGCTGTCAGAGGATTCAGGTGTAAAGTCAACCCAGATGGGGGTGGTGGCTCCCCAGAGGGGCTTACAGAAGAACCACACAGGACACCACATATTCAACCCTGGTGTCTTCAGAAACCCATTGCACCTGGACTCCCAGGGCAGCTGAACCCCTGGAGCAGCCTTTAGAGAAGAGGCAGGAACAGAACAAGAAACAGGATCAGCTAAGGCACTCCATGCTGGCTCGGACTCGCTCCATCTCATGCAGGAAGCTGTAGAACTGAGGCAAGGTTAATTCTGGAGAGAGAAAATTTAGTTTGAGATCAGTGTTTCCAATGCCATAGAATCACCCAGGAAGACCCATTTCTACTGGTGCTTGTGGTTTGTTTATTCATTTGACGGGAGCAGGCCTGGGCCTTGTTTGCAGCAGAGCTCCACCTCCAGGCTCACACCCATTTCCTCTGGTACATCTCAGCAGTCTTTTCTTTCTCTTTGCACTGCTGGCAACCAAACCCGGGCCTATAGCAGGCCAGGCCAGGCCCCATTCAGCTCCATGCAGCCCCATTCAGCTCCATGCAGCTCCATGCAGCTCCATGCAGCCCCATTCAGCTCCATGCAGCTAAGTGGCTCCTGGTACATAACCCATCAGAAAAAGGGACCGACAGTCTTGACCATGCAAGGGTCTCAGCTCCAAAAAACTGAAGTGTGTATATGTCGTCACACAGAAGCATGGAGGGATTCACAGCGGGCATTCACTACAGGGGTTTCTGCCTCCATTCTACTCCCAGCCTCATCCTTTACCCTTCTACTCAGAGTATCCAACCTCCCAACAGCTTAGTAACTGCTCTGGCACTATGCTTTAAGAGAGGGAAGGAAGTGGGTGGCTGCTCTACAGCCTGGTGATAACCTTGTCTTAGAGAGATGGGTTATGTCAGCCTGTCTTCACCCATCTTCACCAGCCCACGTGACTGAAGGAAAGATGTGGAAAGCTTAAAAATGGGGTTACAGACTCACCTATATACAAATTTTCAGTTTGTTTTCCTTTCTTAAGCACCAACTTTAACTAAGAAGGGAAAAAAAAGAGATAGTAAAGGAAATATAAATACATACATACATATATATATACATACACACAAACTTTCAAATTAAAATGATGGGCCCACAAGATGGCTTGGTGGGTAAAGTGCTTCCCACATGAGCCTGGTGACTGGGTTTGGTCCCTGGCAGCCCACGGAGAGGTGGAAGAACAAGGCTGTCCTCTGGCCTCCACATCCAGGATGCTCATGAGCACCCTACCCATTTCTCTCTCACACAGTAATAGTTACAAAGGGAAAAAAATTAAATGACATAGAGAAAATATATTCCTCTAAACCTTTTCACCTAATCACATCCCAAAGCTTCCCAGGCTCTCAAGGAGACTAAACCCCGGGCTACACCCCAGCCCCAAGATAGGCTTCTAACTTAGGAGTTATGTGAAGTGGACTGAATTGTCCATGTAAAAAAGCCTAACAGTCCCTGAAGCAACTCAACTTTTATGACTAACAGCAAGATGAGCTCCTCTGAAGGCAGGCACCTTGTAGAGCGTATCCTCGGCTGATCACGCTGCTCTGAGACATGCAGGACACTTTATGGGGAACAACACTTAAGAAGATATCAAACCTGTGGTGGTTTGAATGAAAGTGCCCGCCACAGGCTCTTTATGTCTGAATGCTTAGCCACCAAAGCAGAACTCTTTGATAGGATTAGGAGGTAAGGTCTTGTTGGAGGAAGTGTGTCCCGGGGGTGGGGCTTGCTCTCTCTGCTGCCTGCAGATCAGGGATGTGGGAGTCTCAGCTACTTCTCCAGCACTAGGTCTGCCTGCTGTCCTGATAAGGACGGACTAAGCCTCTGAGGCTGAAAGCAAGCCCCCAGTTAAATGTTTTCGTATGCAAGGGTTGCCTCGGTCATGCTGTCTCATCACGGCTTGAACACTGACTAAGACAAAACCCGATGCAGCTTTAATAAAATAAAAAGAGAGAGAGAGAGAACATGCCTTATGAAGCCCAAACTGGCCTTGAACTTTTGATGTTCAAATTCCTGATGGTGAGAGGTTACAGGCCTGGGCCACCATGCCCAGCTTTTAATAACTTTTAACCAGGTTGAAATCCTCCATGTTGCCACTGACCACAAACTTACCTGTAAAAATATGCTTCCCACTTTCTCTAGTTCACTGCTTCCAGACGTCACTGTGACACACACAAAAGGACACTAAGTGACTGACTGAGGACTTCTAAAGAGCGCAGTTTAGTAGGCTGTCCCGAGCAGCCATGTTGGTGTGAATATGAGCCAGAAAGAAGGTACCAGGAATGGAGATGGCTGGCCCCCAATAATGTCTCAGATCAAGGACAAGTCTCCTCCCACCCCGGGCTCTCCAAAAGTCTTGGCAATCCAGTCCCAGGACAGCTAGACAAGTAAATAGGAAGGGACCCATCTAGTTACCTCCAAACCTCCACTCCATATCAATCAGCTGGTTGATCATCAGGGTCTGACCCATGGCCCACTGTGCCAGGGCTGGGGCATTCTGCTTCCACTGGAAGAAAAGTAAAGGCCAACAGCATCAGAGTCATCACCCCTATCTCTCTGCTCCAAGCGCAGCGCTCATCAAACAACAGATAGGGAAAAAAGCAGAACCAATGGCTGAGTCTACCTGTATGCACATATCCAAGACAAGGCGGGAATACAATCTTTTCAACTGGGCATTGTGAAGCCCAGCTGACCTTGGATTTGTTATGTAGCTGAGGCTGGCCTTGAGCCCCACTCCCAGTCCTGGGATTACAGGCAGGCACCGGCTACACCCAATTTCAATTTTCTTTTTTCATCCCAAGATTTAATCCAATTGGAACAATGGAATTAATATTTGTCAAATTAAAGGAGAAAAAAATAGGGCTACCCTAAGCAGAGCTGGTTGGCAGCTGCAGGTGTGTTGTTGAGAAGCTGAAGGAAGAATGGGATGTTTTTGTCTTGCTCAGCATTTTTTCCCCCTTTTCTTTTCAGGAAATATAAGCCAGGACCTTAACCTTGAATTATACCTTTTCAGAAAAGTAAGTGGCTTTCTCCTCACCAAGACCTGTGAGAGAACACAAGAATAATTAACATAACAAAGAGCTCCGAGGTCTCCTCCTCCCCAGGCAACCCTAGGTAAAGACCTACCTAGAGTCAGGAGATCAGTCCGCACTTGCTCTGCAGTGAGGCCCCTCTTCAGCGCACCTTGGAGGCAGGGGAGAAGTCATAAAGTGTAAATGAAAGCATTGCACAGTGGGTAGGATTTGTTGGACCCAACCTACACAGAACACAAAAGCAATAGGCTTCAGGAAGGTCTCAAGTGGATGGGGAGAAAATGCAGCCCTGAAACCACTCCATTTGTTCACTGCACAGTAGGGTCAGTCACCCTCCAGATGGTGGACTGCAGTACTGAGCAATGCGACAGTCCTCGAGACCCATGGCAGCCTGGCGTTTAGTTAAAGTCTGAGTGTAGCCGGCATTGTGGTGCCTGCCTTTAATTCTAGCACTGGGGAGGCAGAGGCAGATGGATCTCTGAGTTGAGGCCAGTCTGGTCTACAGAGCAATTTTCAAGACAGTCAGCAGGGGTACACAGAGAAACTCTATCTTAAAAAAAAAAAAGGCCTTGTGGGACTGGAGAGATGGCTTGAGTCTTGCAGAGGACTTGAGTTCAGATCCCAGAGCCCATCTGGGGTAATCCACAACCCCCTGAAACTCTGGATCCAATGTCTCCTGCTTGTGAGGGCACCTACACTCATGCCCATATACCCCCATACCAGATCTACATACATACACATAACTAAATGAAAACCAAAGGCATTGTGAATGTGACAGTGTAGTTCAGTGGTAGAGGGTTTGCCTAGTATTAGCAAGGCCCTCAAAAGAAAAAGAAAAAAAAAAAAAAAAAAAAAAAAGGAAAAACTCATATACACACATAAAAATAAACAAGTGAACCAAAAAATAATTAAAAAAAAATTTTTTTTTTTCATTTTGTGTTTTGAGTCAGTCTTATATAGCCCAGGATGGCTACAAACTTACTGTATAGCTGAGGATATCCTTGATTTGTTTTTTTGTTTTATTTTGTTTTGTTTTTTTTTTCTTTGTGTAGACTTGGCTGTCCTGGACTTGCTTGTTCTTGATCTTTTGATCCTCCCACTCCTACCTCAGGGAGTGATGGAATGGCATGTACCAACTTCCCTACCCCTCCCTTTCTTCCTTCCTTCTTTCCTTCCTTTCCTTTCTTTTTCTTTCTTGTGAAGCTGGTAGAACTGTTGGCTATACAATCTGTGACCAGTGTTCAGTAGGGATTGTTCTTTCATCCTATCTGATTACAGACAAAACACCTTGGAGAGTAGGGATGGGAAATTACCTTTTAATAGAAAATAATGTCAGTAACAACCACCTTCAAGGCCGGACAGCTTGCTAGAGATTTAAAGCAGCAGCTGACACAGGTCCCTGAACAAGTCCTTATAGATGAGAACCAGGAAAGGCAGCTGCCACTCGACTCAGCATCTATTATCTTTTCTCCACCTATTGTGCTTTGTTTCCCCTGGTGCTAGAGATTAAACCTAGGGCCTGTGCACTCCAGACAGGTGCTCTGCCACTAAGCCATTTATCACCAACTCATCTTTTCTTTACTCTTCCAACAATGAAACCCAGGAGCACCCTCTGCTCCATTTCATCCCAGAAGAAGGTGATGATTAGAAGTGAAGGAGTGGGCAAGAAGCACAGGAAACCCCACCCACCAGGAACCAAATAAATGCCCGCTAGGGCCCTATCAGGCCCCTGCTGAGCTGGAGAACAATGGTCATAAGGGAACACAAGGCTGCAGACAATGAGGAACCAAGAATACTGCAGGCAAGATTTCCTTTCAGATAGAGTAGTGGCCTGTGCTTATCTTTCAGTGATAGATAACTAGGCGTTTGGGAATGAAATGTCTGCTACTTGCTTCAAACGAATCCAGTCTGGAGAGCAGTGAGATGTGAGGGCAAGGGAGGAACAACTCAGTTAAGGTTCGTAATTATTCCAGGGCGATTGGATTTTGTTCTGTTTTCTTTCTTCCTTTTTGTTTGTTTGTTTTTTTTTTTTTTGTTTTTTTGAGACAGGGTTTCTCTGTGTAGCCCTGGCTATCTTGGAACTCACTCTGTAGCCCTGGCTGGTCTTGAATCAGAGGTCCACCTACCTTTGCCTCCTCAGTGCTGGGATTAAAGATGTGCACTACCACCACCCAGCAAGTAGATGTTTTTAAGAACTACATAAAAAGCTAGACACAGTGGACTTACCTTTAATCACAGCATTCTGGATACAGTGGCAGACAGATCTCTGAGATCCAGGCCAGCCTGGTCCACATAGCAAGTGCTAGCCAGTAACGGCTACACACTGAGACCCTATCTCAAAACCTCAAAAACCAAACCAAACAAACAAAACCCACACACAGCTGGGCAGTGATATTTCCATGAAATGCAAAAAAAAAAAAAAAAAAAAAAAAAAAAAAAAAAAAAAAAAAAAAAAATCACTTCTAGAGACATGAACAAAAAAGGCACACAAAATGTAAGCCCTCCTGGGCAAGGTGGCTCACAATGTGACCCTGTGTAGTCAGAGGCTGAGGTGGGAGGACTTCTGTTCAGAGCTACCCTGGGCTAACTGAATAGCTTTGTCAGTAAAGTGCCGTCTAAGTGTGGGGACTCGAGATAGACCCCCTAGAGCCCACTTAGTAAAGCCGGGCATGGTGATGCTCACTTGTAATCCTACCACTGGGGGCCTGGAGTCTCAGTGGTGCTTGGCTCTGAACACCTCACACACGAGCATGTGCACACTCATGTCCCTGCACATACACAAACATGCAAAAACAATGGCAACAAACAAAAAGGAAAAAGAAAAGAAAAAAACTGCATTAAAAAAGCCCATTATCTGCCAGGCGTGGTGGCACATGCCTGTAATCCCAGCACCCTGGGAGGCAGAGACAGGAGGATCTCTGTGAGTTTGAGGCCAGCCTGCTCTACATAGTGAGTCCAGGATAGCCAAGGCTACAAAGAGAAACAAAACAAACAAACAAACAAACAAACAAAGTGATTACTCTGCTATACATGGTGGATCTCTATGAATTCAAGGCCACATTGATCTGCATGCATTGTGAGCTCCAAGACAGTCAAGACTACATGGAGAGACGTTATCTCAAAATAAGCAAACAAACAAATAAAAATCATTATGGGCTAAGGGTTAGGAGAATAGCTTTTAGCATGGGGGAGGCCCTGGGGTCTAGTCCCAGCATCACATCATAAGAGAAAAAGAGCCAGCTGTGGTAGGGCATGCTGGCATGATCTCCGAGGCTGAGGCAGGAGGATCTCTGTGAGCATCCTGTTCTTACATAGAGAATTTCAAAACTGGTAAGGCTACACAGAGAACTCTCTACACAGTGAACTCTACACAGTGAACTCCGTCTCAGAGAGACAGAGACTCAAGTGACAGTGTAAATCCTATCCTTTACTTTCTGGGCGTAGGGAATGAGGATGCAGACCCAGCCTTGAGCTGTCCTCCTCTGCATGGCTCCTCTGCTATGTCAGCAAGCTGCACCTGGGCATCCTCTGAGAATATTACAAGTCCCTCAGATAAAATGACACAGTATTAGCATATAATCAATGTGCACTGCATACTCTGAAGTACCTCTCGGTTTCTTATACTCCCTAACATATTGTAACCACACGTAAATGCTAGTTATACCAATTTCTTTTGGGAATAATAAAGAAAATCATGTCTGTCCATGTCGCATATAGTCACAATTTTTTTTCAAGACAGGGCTTCTCTGTGTAGTCCTGGCTATCCTGGACTCACTTTGTAGATCAGGCTGGCCTACAACTCTCAGAGATCTGCCTGCCTCTGCCTCCCTGAGAGCTGCGATTAAAGCCACATGCAGCCACAGCTGGCTTGGGCATAATTTTTAAAAAAATGTTTAAGGTGTATGCTATCACTCCTGAACTTAAAAAAAAATATTATAATCCTTGGATGGTTGGTTGAGTCCACAGACACAGTCCACTGAGCATTCGAAGAGCTGTGCCATTTACCTCCACAGCTATATTCCGCTGTAGACTGCATGCCCTGCCATGTCTGGCTACTTACTGCTTAGAGGGCTCCCTAACAAAGGAAGGTGCAGGAGGAAGTCAGAGTCAACTCACCATTTGGAACCAGAAGGAGACTTTTCATGATGCTTTTGAGGGGACCAAGACTGATCTGATTGGTGGCGGCAAATTCAGAGAGCTGAGCCAGAAAGCGCTCCACCTGCAGAGGGGACAGGCCTTTATTTAAAGGCCTTATTTAGCCTTTAAAAAGATTTATTTTATTTAGGTGCATGCATAATCGGCCTACATGTATGTTTCATAGGATCTGTGAAACAAGAATTGCAGAGGGTTGTGAGCTGCCATGTGGGTTGTGGGAACTGAATTTGAGTCCTTTGTAAGAGCAGCCAGTGCCCGGACATTCTTCTCTAAGTTGTCAGGCCGTTATGGCAAAACCCCCTTATCTCAAAATGCCTTACTCACCTCTCTGGGCTCAGTTAGGAAATGGAAAAGCACTTCTGTCAGGTCTGAGAACTGCTGCAAAAGGACAACACAGAGAGAGCATCAGCACCATTACTGTTCCCCAATGCCGATCACCCGGGATGGCCCTCACTGTGCCTACCTCACCCTATGTCCCCTCTCCACTCAGTGTGTCACACATCACTCAACTGCAGGTTTTGAGAGAGAAGAATGGTTTCAGACAGGCTTGATGACCTATATTTAACTTATTTTATTAATTCTTTGAAAACTTTACACAGTGTGTTTTGATCATGTTCATCCCTTCCCCCTTTATTATGTGTTTATTTGAGTGTGTGTCTATGGGTCAGTCTAGAGGACAGCTTTCAAGAGCTGCTACTTGCCTTTTACCTTGTTGAGGCAGGGTCTCACTTTTTGTTTTTGTTTTTGAGACAGAGTCTCATTGTGTAGTCCTGACTGGCCTGAAGCTTGATATATAAACCAGGCTGGCCTCGAACTCAAAGAGATCCACCAGTTTCTGCCTCCTGAATGCTGGAATTAAAGGCCAAATGTTTATAGTAAGTATTAGGGGGTGGGGAGAAGCCAGAAAATATAGGTAGGCAAAATAGATGAAAAAAGAAGCCCTTTGATGTCTTGCCATAAGATGTTTCTGTGGTGGCTTGGTTCTGGTTTTGTTGTATTTTGAGAGAGTGTGTCACTGTGTAGTGCTAATTTGTAGACTGAGGCCAGCCTGATCTACACTGTGAGTTGTAGGCCAGCCAAGGCTCCACAGTCTCTTGTTCCTTCTGCTGAAACTCTACATTCCGTGTGTGTGTGTGTGTGTGTGTGTGTGTGTGTGTGTATGTGTATGTGTGTGTGGTGGTGGTGGTGGTGGTGGTGGTAAAAACAGGAGAGCACACACCTACATTTTGCAGCCTTGATAAGAAACAGAAATTTCCCTAGTGTTTCTCACTATGGCTGTTTATCTACACAGAATCTTAATTATCATTAAATGCACATTAAGTAATTGTTGTTTAAGTCTTCTTACATTGCTGTCTTGCCCAGGAATGCTCATCAGCTACTTATCACAAGTAAACATCAGAAGAGATGCTCAAGATCATTCTAGACAAAAGTCACAGGGAAATGTTAACCAGTGAAAGGCGATACCCCTTCATTTACTGGCTCTGCAAACGGAAGTCTGGGGACACAAGCTGCACACTGATGGCTCTAGGGAATATTGGCCAACCTTCCCAGAGGACAATGGCATAATGCATGTCCAATTCTAATGACAATCACAGCCCTAGAACCAGGAATTCCATTGCAAAGAGTATGTGGCTCATATCTGTTCCACCCATGCTTACATAAGAGTTTTTCCCTTCAGAGTATTGTTCACATGAACAAATAAATAAGAGAAATTCAGCCAGGCACAGTAGTGCACTCTTGAAAGCCCAGCACTCAGGGAAGCAGAGGCAGGAAGCAAGCTTGCACTCAAACAAGGCCAAGCATAGTGGTACAGGCATAGCATCCTAGCCTTGGAAGGCAGAGGGAGGAGGATTGCTTTCAGTTCCAGACCAGTCAGGGTTACAAAGACCTTGTCTGGGGGCTGGAGAGATGGCTTAGAGGAAAAGCCTGCCTTTCTGCAGGTCCTGAGTTCAATTCCCAGCAACCACAGGGTGGCTCACAACCATCTGTAAAGAGATCTTGTGCAGGCTTCTGGGATACAGGTGTACATGCAGAAAAAACACTGTATACATAATAAATAAATAAATAAATAAATAAATAAATAAATAAATAAATCTTAAAAAAAGAAAAAAAAAAAAAAAAAAAAAAAAAAAAAAAGACCTTGTCTGAAAATAAGGGAAAAAACACAACAGCAAACTACCACACAGAACTAAGTGTGGATTAATAGATATTTGAGCATGGTGCCACACACCTGTAATCCCAACACTTGGGGAAGCTGAGGAACTTGAATTTGAGAACAGTCAGGGAACACAGAGACCTATCTCAAGGGGGTGAGTGAGGATCTTGTGGCTGGCAAGATGGCTCAGTTGGCAAAGGCACTTGCTGCTAAGCCTGATGGCCTGAGTTCAGTCCCTGGAACCTGCACATTTGGAGACAATTAAAGCCAACTCCTATAGGTTATTCTCTGACTTCTCACACAACATATACAATGTAATGGTTTTTTAATAACCTTTTTCTTTTTTAAAAAAGATTTATTTACTTATTATTTATAGTGTATTTTTAAAAGGATTCATTTATTTACATATACCGTGGCTACACGTACACCTAAAAAGGAGAAGAGGGCACCGATCTCATAGGTGGTTATAAGTCACCATGTGGTTGCTGGGAACTGAACTCAGGACCTTCGGAAGAGCAGCCGGTGTTCTTAACCTCTGAGCCATCTCTCCAGTCCCCTAAAATAACCTTTTTCATTTTTTGTTTTTGTTTTTCAAGACAGGTTTTTCTGTGCAGCGTTAGCTGTCCTGAACTCGATTTGTAGACTAGGCTGGCCTTGAACTCAGAGATCCACCTGCCTCTGCCTCCCAGAGTGCTGGGATCACAGGTGTAGGCCACCAGGCCCAGAAAAAAGAACCTTTTTTAAAAACAGTAGAATCAACCTCTTCTCTCTGCAAATGGAAGCCTTCCAGAGAAGAGTGGTAACAGCAAAAATTAGTCCTCCCTGGCATTAAGATATTTGGTTGTGAATTCTTGGTTTCAGACTTGCCATTTTTCTGCCTTAGCCTTTCAAGTGGTGGCATGACCAGGCATGCACTGCCAACAGATCCTTTTTTTTTTTTTTTTTTTGTTTATTTATTTTGAGACAGGCTCTCACTATGCAGGTCTGGATGGCTGAAACTCATTATGTAGAAGAGACTGTTTTTGAATTACAGAGATCGACCTGCCTTCCTAATGCTGGTGAGCAGGTCTCTGCCCTGCAGAGTTTGGTTTTTAGTCCTCAAACAGGCCTAAGTGTGTGGGGAGCCCTCACTTGGCTAATTCCTGCAGTGTGAACAGGAGGTGGCATTCCAAGCTCTGCAACAGGGATGGGACCTCCAAAGGCAGGCACACCATTCCTTTCCTGGCCTGGAAAGGGGTGTGGTCACCGGTCCTGTCTGAGCCTCTTCCGGCTCAGGCCCAGGGCCCTACTCGGGCCTGGCCATACTGACACCCACACCCGGCTTGCAGTTCGACTTGCCCTCCTTAATATGTTCAACCACCCGGCCCCTCGGAACTCCTCATTCCCCTCTTTTAGGATGTTACAAATCTGATCCCCAGCTGTCCCCACCTCCGGGGTGAGTCAGCCCACTCCCGAGCCCCTCCCACGCTCAGGCGAGGCCCACCTGCGCGCCCAGCTGGTTCAGCTGCTGCATGTCACCGCGAACAGCCTCCGGCACCGGGTCCTGCGTGCAGTGCAGGCGGCCCATGGCGCCAGGAGCCCCTCAGCCCAGCAGCAGCGCTCGCTTCCTCCTCCCGGGTCTCGGGTCTCGCTGCACTTCGGCAACTGCACTTTCGCCACACTCCCAGCCACCGTCCACAGGACAGCGCACGCGCGGCCGCCGGGCTTCAGGAACTGCCTTGAGCATCCCAGTAGGATTCCAAATCTCTGCCAGGGTGACCCTGTATAAAGCGCTTGTCCCATCTGAGCCTCAGTTTCACTGAATAGTGTTATCTAGGGTGACTACTGGGGTTTTCATCCTCCAAAACCTTCAAAGCCTGGAGCACAGGTATTCCTCACTGACTGGTTGCTGTCCATACCATTGCTGTTAAGCATAGGGTAAATCTACCTATTGAATATATTTACCGTTTCTCTATCTCTTCTATATATTTGGTGCGGAGGAGGGTTCCCAGATCTTTGCATAGGCTTGGGAGGCTGTGCTACATCAACAGTCCCACTCCTCCCCCGCCCCCCCAGCAAATAAGTAATGCCCACCAGAAGCCAAGCACTAGTAACAGGGAAGGGCCATCCTATCCCTCTGAGAGCCTACACTACACCAGAGTGAAGCAGCAGACCTGAATCTTGGACAGGCACTAGTGTCATCTAGACAATTTGGTGCAACTGCCAATTGCTCTGAGCCGAGAAGTTTGGTGAGCAGCCGATAATGTACATTTTCTACGAATTCCCAGGAACTATACTTTGAGAGTCTTGGAATAGAGGAATACAGCTCTGGACAGGGCAGTGGCCAGAAGGGTTGACAGACAGACCCACTGTAGCCATGCTAGGACTGGGGTAAAGCTCAGCACTTGCCCAGTATGTCCACCCCCGGAACTCAATTCCTGGCAGGGTGGGACTACCCAACCCTGTGTTCTCTTAGTCGCAGAAGCTCTCAGCCCCTGGGTGAGTGCTGACTCAGCTTCATTGGACAATTAAAAAATGGAGGTATGCTCCCTGGGTCCTAAAGCCTGCCCTACACCGAAACAAGCACTGTATTTGTCTCCAGGTCTAGCCGGAGAGTATCCTAGAAGCTTGGGGGTAGAATTGCCTGTCCTTCTGGTACAGGTTTTGGCTTTTACACTTCCTTTAAAGTTTCCCTTTGGAAAATGTTGATGAAAATCCTCTATCCAGAGACCAAGCATGTGTGTTCAGCCCACAGGGCACATGTGGCCAAAGATAGCTATGAATTGTCCCAACACAAAACTATAAGCTTACTTAAAACATGAAACTGGGTGTGGCGGTGCACGCCTTTGATCCCAGCACTCAAGAGGCAGAGATAGGTGGATGTTTGTGAATTTGAGGTCAGCCTGGTCTACAAAGTGGGTTCCAGGTCAGCCAAAGCTACATAGAAACCCAATCTCAAAAAAAAACAAACAAACACCCTTTTTGTTATAAACTTTTTTTGGTAGTTTTCTCTTGTAACTTAATTGCTCAATTCTCAAGCCTCAAGTGTGAACTTTGGAGATGACAATGTCCTGTGGCAGTGTCAAATGGGTGGACATCCCTAGGAGTGAGTCCTTCTTTCTTTCTCTCTCACCCTTGCCTGCCCTTGTCCTCAAGACCTAGCCATGTAGCTGCCGGGAACTATGTAGACCAGGAACCAGGCTAGCCTTGAGTTTGCAGTGTATCCTCTGGTCTCTGCCTCCTAAGTGCTGGGATTACAGGACTGCCTGTGCCACTGTGCTTGCTCCTTTCTCATCTCATTTAGACTCTGAAGGGACTCACCATATATTCTAGGTTGGTCTCAATTTTGTTTTAAATTTGAGACAGGTTTCTCTGTGTAGCCCTGGCTATCTGGTAACTTGCTTTGTGGACCAAGCTGGCTTGGAACTCAAGGATCTGCCTGTCTCTGCCAGCCTCAAAATCTTAATCCTTGTTGTCTCAGTTCCAAGTACTGAGATTTCAGGCCTTTGTCACCGTGGTCTCTAGTCATTTTATTCCACCATTCACCTTAAAAAATATTGACTACTTGTTGTGGGGCGGTGTGAAGACGCTGGCTGATTGAGCCTACACTGAGAAATACAACAGGAATCTCAGGCTTAGGGGACTAGTCAGGATCAAGCTCATAGCCTATTGCATGCTGGGTAATTGCTCTACAACTACACACTCCTGTCCCTCAGGATCTGCATTAGCACAAGCAGACCTTCTGTCTGATAGGATTACAGGCCACCATGCCAGGTTTATGAGGACCTGGGGGTGGATCTTAAGGCCCCATTCATGCTAGGTAAACACTACCTATGGAGCTCCACTCCAGCTCCTCCTAATGATCAGATTTTATGTGTTGGGCTTTAAGTAACTGAATGCACAACACGTGTAAAGATATACTCTGTATTGTCTGTATATCAGTCCCTCCTTATTACTTCTTTTCTAACTTTTGTGATCCCAGGAACATAGCTTTGTTCCTATTCTAATGTTAATCACATTCTTGCTCATTTTTATACTTTTGGATTTTTTCTGAGACAGGATCAGTGTCTGGTGAGGCTGCCAAGCCTGAGGATTTGACGTTGATCTTTGAGATATGCAAGTGGAATATTGCATATCCCGCTCCACAAGCTGTACTCTTACCTTCATGCACACAGATAAAAATAAATAAATAAATACATTTAGTAAGTGCCAGGGTCTCATGTAACCCAGGCTGACCTTGACCTTACTGAACAGCAAAGGCTGCCTTCAGCTCTTGAATCTTCTGATTTTAGGTGAATGCTGCCATGCTTACTCTTTATTTTATTTTATTGCTTTATCTTATTTTATACGTATAAGCGTTTTGCCTTGTGCATGTATGTGCACCCCTTGTGTGTCTGATGTCTGCAGGAATCCGAAGAGAGTACTGGATCCCCTGTAACTGGAGTTACTGATGGAAATTATGGGTGGTTGTGAGCCACCATGTGACTACGGGGGCCCTTACCGAGATCCTGTACAGGACAAGTGCTCTTAACTGCTGAACCATCTCTCTAGCCCTTATTATATTCTTTAGAGACAGGGTCTTACAACATAACCCTGACTAGCCTGAAATTTAACAGCCTGACCAAGTTTAGGCTGACCTCAGAGGGATCATCCCAACATCCTGACTGTTGGGATCACAGGTACAAGCCACCTCTTTTCCTGCCTCTGCCTCCAGAGTGCTGATAGTATCACGGGTATACACCACCGCACCTAACTTTCCTCTTTTTATTAGGAACTTCCTAAGTCACAGAGGCAACACAGCAGGCTCCCTTTTTACTCTCTAAGCTTTCTGTGTTCGGTTTTGGTCTTAAAATATTGAATGAAGATTTTTAGAAAAATACCACTCTATACGTTTTAAATTGAACACCATTCTGAGTAGTAATGATTCTTTGGGCAACTCAATCTGTTTTACCCTTTGTTCGGCCTTATCACACTGTGTATGCTGGTTGCCTCTCAGGCTAGGTTTTTTCTTTCACCTTGCTTTTTGAGCTAGGGTCTCAGTTCATGGCCCTGAATAGCCTGGAACTCATTGCATAGATCAGGGTAGCTTTGAATTTATGGCTGCCTTCTTGTCTTTGTTGCCCAAGTGCTGGGAGTACAGAGTGCTGAACCACACCCGAACATAACCCTTTTGTTTGTTTTTCAGCACAGGGTTTCTCTGTGTAGTCCTCGCTGTCTTGGAACTCACTCTGGAGCCCTGGCTGGCCTTGAATCAGGTCCACCTATCTCTGCCTCCTGAGTGCTGGGATTAAAGACTTGTGCCACCACCGCCCAGCAAGTAGGATGTTTTTAAGAACTACATAAAAAGCTAGACACAGTGTCACTTGCCTTTAATCACAGCACTTTGGATACAGAGGCAAGCAGATCTTGAGATCCAGGCCAGCCTGGTCTACATAGCAAGTTCTAGGCAGTAAAGGCTACACAGTGAGACCTTATCTCAAAATCTTCAAAACCAAACAAAACTAAACAAACAAGCAAAAACAAACCAAAACAAAAAAACCCCATACACAGCCGAACAGTGATATTTTCATGAAATACAATAAAAAAATCATTTCTAGAGACATGAATAAAAAAGGCACACAAAATATAAGCCCTCCTGGGCAAGGTGGCTCACAATGTGACCCCAATAGTCAGAGGGTGAGGTGGGAGGACTTTTGACAATTCAAAGCTATTCTGGGCTATATAGCAAATATTCTGCTAGCAGGAGCTACACAGTGAGACACTGTCTCAAAACAAACAAACAAGCCGGCTTTTTTTTTTTTTTTTTTTTTTTTTTTTTTTTTTTTAAATAGGGAAATCTCATGTCTGCTGCCACAGCATATCTGGCAGTGTAGAGGACTGATGAAGAAAAACTATAGGGAGCATGAAGTACACCTGTAAGCCCAGTTTTTGGAAAGCAGAGGCAGGAGAAATCTCTGTGAGTTCCATGTCAGCCTGGTCTAGGTATTAAGTTCCAGGCCAACCAAAGGTATACAGTAAGACCCTGTCTCACTGTATAAACAAAAACAAAGCGCACACACACACACACACACACACACACACACACACACACACACAAAACGTTTTATCTCAGGTGTGGAGGAGAGCAGGACCTTCCCAGTGGTCACTGAGTGTTTTAGGAGCGACCCATCCTGGATGTGCGGAGGATACTCTGTTTTTTTGGCCTCCGTAGACCCGTTCAGGAAGGAGAAAGTGCAAGTAACAGTAGCAGGAAATGCATGGCCAGAGGCCTCCCTTCCACAGGACCTCCTGCCCCCACTGCAGACTTAATGAGGGACTTGCTCCCTTCATTCACTTTATAATGTCCCTCTCTCTCCCCTTCCACAGCTCTCAAGTGAAAAGCCTTGTAAAGTAGGGGCTGCTCAGGTGGGGATTCCTACTGTGAAGCTCACCAGGGACCACACTTTCCCTCTGGGGAAAGATCTGAGCTCCCTGCTCTAAAGGCTGCCTAAGGGAACTAAGCTTTTAAGTGTGCTATTGTTGTAAATTCTTATTTGATCGAGAGAAATAATATCCCTTGTCACCTTTGCCTGGTTTGTCTGGCTTCAGGATTCCTCCAGTTTCCAAACATTGCATCCCAGTCAGGCCTCACTTTGGGCCTAAGAGCCATTTCCCAAAAGGTCTAGATGGCTTCATGTCTTGTTTCTAGCAAAAGAATTGAACAACAA